GAGAGAGAGAGAGAGAGAGAGAGAGCTAGCGCTAAACCATTTGGGTCTTATAAAGATTCTCATACAAAACAATACTTATCTAGCCAGAAGTATTTGTGATTAATGAATTATGGAGAAGGATCTCTTTGAGAAGGAGTGATCTGGCCCGATTTATTGCAAGAAAACAAAGCAACAAATGTTCCTCGAGATCCATCAGCTGTTGCTCAAAACTGGAACGGTTTCTTTGAAGCTGCTTCAGTACCTCCTGAATGGCATGCCTGTCCGGCCGCCTTGATAATCCAAGGCGAATAAGAAGCTTGTCATTCTCAATTGTGGTGCACAAACGAGCCACAAGACGATCAATAGTGTCTAGGTGTTTATGAAGGACATAAGCACCCTGTGCCGCAGCATCAAGTTGAGCTAGATGGGCCTTTTCTTTCTTAGACATATTGGAAAGAAGGATTGTAGGGCATATAGGGATGGCAACTAGGGCAACTAGGGCATGAGTAGCTAAGACAACAGCTGATATGGCCACTCCAACAGTGGCTGCGATTAAACATACGGCGCAGCCTGTGGAGGTACGCCGGAGGACATGAACCCTAGAGTTTGACTTTTTGAGCCTGTGGCCAAGTTGTTGTCTGAGTTGGGTGAAGCATTGACGCATATCATCGAAGTTGTGAGAGCCAGAAGAAAGGAAGGGGTTATCGAGGCTGTCAAATCGGAGAAAGATGTCAAATGCCCAGTTGCACTGGGAATCAGAAATGGAATATGAATCTAAGTCAAACTCTAGGGGAAGGTCATCAAGAAGGTTACTGAGAGGGGTATAGAGTAGACGAGCACGGTGGACTCCCTGGTACAGGTGCAGGCACAAAAGGCAAGTATGCTCACTATGTTGAAAGTAGGTATCAACGAGTTTGGTAGGAGTATTCGGTGTAATATGCGAAAGTGCATCTTGGATAGACTCACGGTTTGGTTGAAGAACCTTTTCCAATAGCTGTGATTCCTGAGAGAAGTCCGCTTGCTCTAGGTCTATATATTGGTCTAAAGAGCTATCTTGGTGAATCACATTCCGAATCTCACCAAAAGAATTCGTTTCGACTGCATACCTGTATTCTTGAGTGAGGTTAACTGTGGGAGAGATTTGGGAACTCGATGTTGGTGTATTCCCCACAGAATGAGAAAATTCTGCAATATACTTAACACAATCAAACATAAAAATGACAGAAGAGCGAATAGCACAATGTGTGAAGGAACAGTTTAGAACTGTACCTTGTGAAGCAGGGGATGAAATATAATTATTTGTTGTTGATGTTGAAGGCAATGGCCTCAGGCAAGACATCATTGAGCCCTGTCCTTTGATGTTGTGGCCAGCAACCAAAAATCATCTCTTGATAACAGACTGGCATTCAGTAGTTCAATTAGAAATATCACGCGCACAATCAAGAAAGAAAAATTCAAGCTTCAACTGATCTTCAATTAAACATTGAGCAAAATAACAAGAATGATTAAATTAAAAGTTGGTGTTGTTTTGAGATACCTCAACTACAAGAAAATACCATCTATGATAGTTTACATCAACAGAACATCCAAAACATTATTTACATTAAAGCAAATGCGAAAAGATTCTATCAACTAACATAAAGCTCAGCCAAGTACTTGTTCATATGAGCAACAATCAAACAACTAGTTCCATCTTTCAAGCTAGATTAATCTTTGCATGTGTAAGAAATGAATAAAAGAGTTATCCTTTAATCATTCAGATAATTCTCAATGTTTTGCTCACTTAACTCTGCAAACTGTCTTGCTGATTACTTCTAGCAGAATTCAACAAAGGGAAATAAATCACTCTAATCTATATTAGACAAGAAAAACTCTGAATACAACTTATGAGCCAACAAGTAAACCCAGGCCACTAGATAAGGATTGTAAGTTTCTGCTCAGTGACATAGGAGGTAATGGTGCAAAGACAAACAGAAAAGTTATCTAGATTTAATTAATTTATTTTTATGAGTTTAAGAATTAGCAAAATGGAGAAGGGGGTTAAAGTGTTATGAACCTAGATCCCAACAGCACATAGAAAAGTCCATGCCACCTTAAAAGGTGCCCAACTTCGACAGATTGGTAGCACTCTGAATGCTAATAACTGTATAATTCTCAACATATTAATCTCCAAAAATTAGGATCAAAGTTTTAGAGAACATCAAATGGGAATAATAAATATCAGGATTTCGAATGTCAATATGATAAATGAGAATAATAAAGTATTGATAAGGTATTTAACAACAAAATCTATATATATATATTGACATCTAGTTTCTCTTCCTCTTCAAAACCTAGCAAATCATAGACTGTAATGACATAATTAAAACAGTGCCTCTCTAACACCATCTAGAAATTGGCATTAAGGTCAAGTAATACCTTCCCCTCCATGCACAATATACATATCAATCACACATCCAAATTTTAATAATAATCTCCAAGTTATGTAGCAGATAATAACAGTTCAGGAACAAGTTCAAGATTCATTAAAATCCCAACTGTTTCAATACTTGATCAGAATCCCAATATAGTAAAATCTTAATTCAGAATTAAAACATTAAACTTCCCAGAGTATTAAATTTTCTTAACAGCTCAATTGAACATGTACATGAACAATTGCATCATTTATGACCTAATATTAGAAACTAAGGCCACCCCACCCAGGCAATCCCCACCAAAAGCCCTAATAATGTAGAAAAATGAGAACTAATAACGATTAGAAATTAATCGAAGATCATATACAAAACTCGCATAAGCAAGAAACCAAGTCTGAACAATTAGAGACAATTAAGGCACACAGAAAGAAAAACATGGTAAAAAAATGGTTTCAACTTGCAATTAATTTGTATTAACCCACGAAACCTATGCATACTGGAAAAAGGAAAGAGAACATTTACGCTGGTTACCTTGAGAAATTAATCTTGAAAGTGAAATGGATAGCAAGCTTTATGTATATGTCTATATAGTAAAGTGAATGATGAATATTAATTACTAATCTTCGAGGAGCTTTCTGAGATAAGCTTTGAGGAAGTCTTTTCGGGCCTGGGCTCGGGCCTGTTGAGGACCGATGTTGGCGAAGGAAAGATGGGCAGCGACTGCAAGTAGGGTGGCACCGGTCAACACGCCGCAAATTGTTAGGGTAAGCTGCTTTGGAGTTGTTGGGAGAGACGACAGGACCATCTCTGTCTTTCTTCTACTATTCTTGTGTGCGTGTGAGCGAGAAAAGTCAGATATCTGAACGTAGATTCTTCGAAGAAAAGAAAGGTTGAAAATTGGGAAAAAGAAAAGGGAATAAAATTAGGATAAATATCCGCAGGGGTCCTTAACTCTTACAAAATGCTTTAACTCATCCCTATAATTATCGTTCAAATAAAGAGTTTATTTGTTTTGGATTAAAATCTCAATTCAAAGTCAATATTAATTTAAACCACATATTTTATGTAATTCATAACTTTTTAACCACACATTTCAAAAACTTTTATAAAAAATTTAATTTTAATCCCCACCAACCATCCTCAAAGTTTTTCTATTGACAATGATATGGTTGTAACAATTTTACCAAAATTGGACAGAATTAGTCCGTTCGGATTGGATGAGTTGTATTGAAAATTAGGAAAATTTGTGCTTTCGTCCTCAATCTTTACAAAATGTAACAAATCAAACCTTAACCTTTTCTAAACATAATCCATCCTCAACCTTTTAATTATATAGCAAAACTCGCCATTATCTCTATTTTGGCAATTAGATGATGAATTTTCCTTCTATTTAAATAAATAAAAATCAAAGAAAACAGTAAAAGAAAAAAGAAAAACTGGAAAAATCACAAATTTATTTCCATAACTTTTCAAAAAGTACAAATAAATCCCACCTAAAACAATTATAGCACAAAAAAAAATAAAAAAAAAAAATCTATCCAATAGAATTTGACTTTTAATTATTTCATTCTGGTCTTCAGTACTATCTTTTGTGGGTATAGGCCAGATTTATTTTTAATCGCGAGTTTAACACCTTCACAATTTGCCTATGTGAGGAAACATTATAATT